TCCGCCACCCTAACCCTATCCCTCCCAGGGCTCTCCAGGCCAGAGATGCCACGTGTCAGTGACACCCCTGCTAGGGTAGGGAGGGTGCTAACTGGAGCTGAGTCACAATTCCCAGGAGGCTTCGAGACAAAGAATCACGGCTTTTATCAGCCCAACAACTGGAATTCTGAAAATCTCATTTCTTTAGGGCAGGAGACTGGGTGTCTGACCCAGAGTTACAGAGAACAGGAGCCCCACCCCGGCACAGCTGTCCCCCCAGCCGGGGTCCTCTAGCTCATTGAATGCGTAAGCCAAGAAGCAGAGGAAGGGGATTACAGAGCGATTAGAAGCAGGGCTCTGGGGTCACATAGACCTGGAGTTTCAGGCCCAATTTCTTCATCTGCAAAATGGAGATAGTAACACCCACCTAGAGATGTTGTTAAGAGGCAAGGAAATGAGAACGAACTTAGTGTGGGGCTTGGCGCATATTACATCCTCTGAGTAAAGGGCTGCTAATGAGGACGTGATGAGAGTGATGCTGCCATGACTCGCCCTAGGGTTCTCTGCTCCAGCCTCCTCAGACATCACCTTCACATGCCCACTCTCCTCGGGGGCTGGCGTCACAGACCTACACCTGGAACACTCCTTGTGGGCAAGGGCCATGGCAAAACCCAGCCAAACCAAGGCTTTCCTTCTATTGAGAGTTTCAAATAAATGTTCAGATGTATATATAAACCTATATTCCCTCAAAAATCAATTTCCTTTCCACACACCTGTTCTTGGTAGGCATAGTCCTCGTGGCAGGGAGTTCAGTACTTCTGGAAACATCCCGTTATATTGCTGGGCAGCTGCAGTTTTTAATAAGTTGTCCCTACTGCTCAGTTTCCAGTTGAGTTCTGCCTACTAGAAACATCCACACATCGGCTTTTGCCCACGCCCTGAAACCACACGGAACAAGCCTGCCTACTCCCCCAACCCCCGGATGTTTCTTTCAACGCATCTCTGTTAATTCAGGCCTGCACTGCAGGTTGCTTCCCTGCCTGTCTGTTCAATCCAATCTTCTGGCAGGATGTTGTCCTTCATGTATACGTGGAATACAGTCCTGGGATGCACCCTCTTGACTGTAAAATCCTGGTCTAGCATCCTGATTTGTATTGTCTTCAGGTTGCCCCAACGCCCCCCTCCCCAGAATGATTAGGGAGATCCTTGTCCCCTAAGAATCAGACACACTTTGATTTGAATCCCAGCTCCCCTATCCTAGCTGTGTGACCTTGGACGAGTTCCTCAGCCCTCTCTGAGCTACATTTTTATCCTCTGTCAAATGGGGATAAAGATCCTTAGCTTGCCACTGGTTGTGACAATGAAATGAGATCACGTAGGTGCAAAGCACGGCATAGCGTAAAACTTCAGTACCTGGCAGCTCTTATTGTTTTTAAGAGAGAAAGACGCAGAATTCCTTGAAGGGGACGAGCAAGAGAATCAGCTCTCCCTGGAGACACAAGGAGGGGCCTGGATTCTGCGGTGAACTCATCCTACGCCAGGCAGACGGAGAGATGGTCTCGTGGTAAACAGCCGGGGCCCACCACTGCGGGCCGCGCGCCGTGTGCCAGCCCAGCCTGCCCCAGCAAAGGGGCCTTGGGGTTGACACAGCCGGTGCCAAGCCAGATGGGGCAGCGGCCAACTTTCCAGTCAACCCAGATGTCTGTCTTTCTCAGATGAAAACCCAAAAATGTGGTCTCAGTCAAAGTGGCTTTTGAGAGCCGTGTGCTCTCCAGACCCTGCAGAAGCTCTGAGCTGCGACTTTTGATAACTCCCCAGGGGTCAGGAGGATGTGGCTCAGGCCAGGTTCTGGCAGGTCAGCTGCATCTGTCACTCAGAGTGAAGGGAGAAAGGTGGGGGGACCAGAGGCTGACCTAGATTGACTCTCTGAGCCGTTTCCCTAAGAAGGCACTGAGGAATTTTTCTGGAAGAAAAGGGATTTGTCTGTGCCATGTAACTGAGACTTCAAGGCAGTCCTTTCCCATGTCAGAAATAGCAACACTGCAGGGACCTTCTTCAACCGTCCTGTACAGCCTCAGAAGCCAAAGCTGATTTAGCGGAAGCCATGAAGTCACGTGGTTCCCCCCGCTGTTGGCTCCATCACTCCCCTCACCCCCTGATTCTACTAGACCACCTTGTTGGGGATGACAAAGCCCTTCCCTGAGGGGCACAGCCTTATTTTATCAGAAGAGAAATAGAGGTTCAGAGGGGCAGAGCCACCAGGGCTGAGAATGTTCCAGAACTCAGGAGTATGCCTGTCTTGCCAACAATTCCCAAACCTACCCCAGCAGCTCGCCTTTTTTTCTAGAGTCTTGCACAGTAACTTGCCTGTCTTGCCTACGTAAAGAAATATTCCCCACCCTGGCCCCAGGCCTGGGACTGGAGCTAGGTGTCTGGCACCCTGTCAACACAAACAAGGTTCCCCAGCATCTTGCCCCTTCTCTCTACAATGCCCAGCTGCACTTTAATGCATTTTAAATGTTTACATTGCCCTTTGCAATTCCTTGCTCAGTGTGGGGAATGCCTAACATTCCAGGGTCTGCACCCTTGTGCCCAGCTTGCTGAGGTGTGCTGAACACAGTGAGGGGTGGTGCGAGCAGGGGACAGGGAGGGGGTGGGTGCTCAGCCTTGGGTGTGCTATGCTCCAGGAAATGTTCTCACTCGCTTGATCTCACCTGCCTGTGCAATTTCCTTGGGTTGTTAAGCTCTTTCCCATCTCTTTGGCCCCCTCTAATAATTCTATTTTTAAAAAATAAATAATTTATTTATTTAATTTTTGGCTGCATTGGGTCTTTGTAGCCGCGCGGGCTTTCTTTAGTTGTAGTGAGCAGGGCCTTCTCATTGCAGTGGCTTCCGTTGTTGTGGAGCACGGGCTCTAGGCACGCAGGCTCAGTAGTTGTGCCTCGTGGCTCTAGAGTGCAGGCTCAGTAGTTGTGGCGCATGGGCTTAGTTGCTCCGCGGCATGTGGGATCTTCCCGGACCGGGGCTTGAACCCATGTCCCCTGCATTGGCAGGTGGATTCTTAACCACTGTGCCACCAGGGAAGCCCTACTCTAATAATTCTTCAGACCTCATCCTGGATGTCACCTCTACAAGAAGCTTTCCCTGATCCACAAGTTTGGGAATGGATCTCCTACCCCACGGTGTACAGATGTGCAGGTTGTGCACTGCACAAAAGCTCCACATCTAACAGAATCATTGGCATCCTGGATTTGTCCAATTATAAAGACTATTTTGAACACATGGAAGGGGCACCTTTCTCTAATTTGCACAAAGGTGGTCCCGGTTCTGCTGTCTGCGCCCCCCTCCCCCACCAGCCTGTAAGCTTGGAGAGGGGAGGCACTGTTTCTACCTCATTCTCCACTGTTAAGGCCTACACACTATGGGTACTTCAAATGGGTACTTCATCAATGAAAATATTTGCTGGCTGAGTGGAGTGTGGGATATGGAAGTCTCAAGGGTGGGTCTGACCAGGAGGAATAAAAGTGGTAAAACATCTTTGGCCTGCAGGGGGTGATGCTGAGCAGCTCCACACACTCCTTCCCATGGGGCAGTGGGTCCAGTCCCTCTTCCTTTCTTGGAGGGATACTTCTAACAGTAATTATAACAGCTACCACTTACTGACCTAATGCTAAGTACAGGTGCCATCTCATTTACTCTCCACAGCGGCCTTATGAGGCTGGCCCTATTACTGTCTCCATTTCACAGATGGGAGATGGGGCAGAGAGAGGTCAGCAGGCAGAGCTGGGACTGGTACCTGCCATGTATTGGATGCTCAAGCCTGAAAGCGTAATACTACCCTTCGGTGCTTCACCAAAAATTCTATCACACTGTGAAACTGTCCACATTTATTTTTAGTTTGGAGAATATGGTCACTGCTCCACAGCCGAGTCTGAAGTTAGGAACAGCCCTGCCATTCCCCCCTTCGGGCTGTGGGCCAGGCCCCCCACAAAGCTGACTCACTGAGTTGACTTTTTTTTTTTTTTTTTTTTTTTGCGGTACGCGGGCCGCTCACTGTTGTGGCCTCTCCCGTTGCGGAGCACAGGCTCTGGACGCGCAGGCTCAGCGGCCATGGCTCACGGGCCCAGCCGCTCCGTGGCATGTGGGATCTTCCCGGACCGGGGCACGAACCCGTGTCCCCTGCATTGGCAGGCAGACTCTCAACCACTGCACCACCAGGAAAGCCCCCGAGTTGACTTTTGACAGGCAAAAGAAATACATGCCAGGCCTGGACCCAAGCCCAGGAGTGAGGCCTGCAAGAGGAAGACAGGCTAAGCGGGCAGGAGCCACACTCAGGCATAGGTACCTCGTCACCTGTCTCCCAACTTTAAGATCAGTGCCTATGAGAGTGGCATTTTGCTCACTCCTGAATTCTCAGTGCTCAGTATAGGCAAGGCACCTGGTGAGTATTTGCTGAATGAATATGTTAGGTTTTCCCACCACAAAAAAGAGGGCTGGGAGCTGAGTTTCCCATACCCCAAGGCCGAGGACATTCGGGGACAGATGCCCAACACTGATTCAAAGGCTGAGAGACAGGAAACAGCTGAGGAGGGGGCCTAGGGGTCCCTCCAGGGAGAGAGTGAGAGAAACACTGAGTCACTAAGTCAAGACCTCTGGGCCCCTGGTATCTGGGCAGGGAGTATGTGGAAGGGGGTTGAGGGGTAGAAGAGGGCCCAGCATGGGATGTAATTCCTAAAATCTGAGGAAGAACAACTGGCAAAAAGAGTAACCCATTCCAGGCCATCAGACGGAGCAGGCAGGCCACGCTGCACCTGGCAATGGGTCTGTGCCATCAGGAGCCTCTGCCACCAGCCAAAAGGACACTCAAGGTCGATTTGGAAAGCTTTCCTAGTTTACCAGCCTGTTCTACCTGCCTGGCCTCTGAGGCCCTGGTGGGAAATGCGGGGGCTGGTGCCTGCAGCAGAGGCCAGGCCCTGGGAGAGCTTTGCTGACAACCCTGGACCCTGGCACCCAGCACTCACCTGGTCTGGGTGGACACGGGGCACAGGAGGTCACTCCCCAGAAGGCTCCCACACTGCCACAGCAGTCCTCTTGGGCAGTCAGCTCCAGCAGGGGGTTGGCACACTGGAAAAAAGCCCATGGACACTCATCACCTGCTTCCCTCCCCTGCTGTGCACAGAGATGTCGCAGGAAAGCCTGAGACATGAGCTCACCACATCCTGCAGAGAATGCCCCCACCCAAAGGGAGGGGAGGAGAGGGGAGGAGTTGTCCCGGAAGGAAGCAGTGAAACCCAGAGTCCACTCTGCCAGACCCTAAACTTGGGAGGGGAGTGGCAGGAACACATCCAGATAAGATCTTGTCTGTGAAGTCTGCAAAGCTGCCCCCATCCATGTTCCCAGCCCACAGAGGTTGGGCTTTCCTCCATCAAACTCCAGGGTATGCCAGGGCCACCTCCGTGAGCAGGGTCCATGCTCAGCGACACCACAGCTGACAGGTGGGGAGGAGCTGCGGACTTGGAGCCCCTATCCCTTGGCTACTCACTACCTCCCCCAGTTCCGAGGAGGGGTTTCTGGGAACGCCAAACTGCAATCCTAGGGAAAACCATCCTGGGTCTGGCTTAGCCTCTATCCTTAGGTGCCTGGACTCAGAAAAGCTTACATGATTTCCCATCACCGACTGAGGATGCCACCGGGGGTAGGGAGGGTGGAGTGTCTTATCTTTGCACCGCCAAGGCTTTGGGGTTTAACCTGCATTTGCTAATTTCACATCTCTGTGACTCCACCCTTAACTAAAGACCAAATTCCTTCTCGCCAGATCTAATAGCCCCACTACCCACGCACCGGGAGTCCTACACTCAGCTCCAGGAGAGCCCAGGATTTGCTAGGACACAAGGACGCTTATTCCCCTCCAGAGGGGGCCTCTCTTGGGTCCTCTTCTGTGTGCCCGGCACTGACGACCCAGGTACCCAGCGGCGACCAAGTAGGAGGCTTAACCTCTCTACACTCGGGCAATTTTATGCCCTGAGTTTTCCCATGTGGGGAATGGGAGACCCTGTAGGTTCACATTCCTCAAGAACATGGAGGAGAGAGAGAAGGAGGAGGGGCACTGCAGGAAGCAGTCGTGGTCCCAGAAGACCCCGGGGCTGGGGCAGGAGCTGCCTTCTCACCTGTCCATTCACAGCACTCAGGTAGCACCGGCCCAGCAGTGCCGGAGGCCTGGGCACCACCGGGGGTGGCGGCCGAGGAACCACTCCAGACCGAGCCGGGATGCTGTTGCTGTGCCAGTGACCATGGCCGGGGCTGGCGGGGAGCCAGGGCGAGGGTCTGGTCTCCACGCTGTTCTCCTCTGGGGCCTCCTCGACCTCGCCCCGTACCCGAGCCACCTGGTGGACCTGCACGGAGGCCTCAGGCGGGTGGTGGATGTGCACCTTCACCAAGGAGGGGTTCACAGAGGCTGGGCACAGGGGCTGGGGTCAGAGGTGGGGAAACAGGGCCCCACCCTCTGAGGAGTGCAGCAGCCCTGGGCCAGGCAAGCCACTGGCTGTGTCTCCCCAAAACTCGCCTCCATTTCTTCACTCTCTACTCAAAACCCAGAACAATACCCCAGGGAGGACAGGACCAAGCACAGGCTCCTTCCCTCCACACCTTAGCACAGGCTCCGGACGCGCAGGCTCAGCGGCCATGGCTCACGGGCCCAGCCGCTCCGTGGCATGTGGGATCTTCCCGGACCGGGGCCCGAACCCGTGTCCCCTGCATCGGCAGGCAGACTCTCAACCACTGTGCCACCAGGGAAGCCCCATACCTTTTCTTGAAAAACCTTCATTACCAACTTCCAAACTACCTTCCTGATTCCACCTCCCCCCATGATCCTGCACAACCTTCGAGCTCCAGCCCAACAGACCCTGCATCGTCCCCACTATATGCCTTTGTTCACACCAGTCCCTCTGCCCAGGAAGCCCTCCACTCCCCTCTGCTTAACCAAAGCCTATGCATTGTTTAAGGCCTAACTGAAGTCCACCTCCCCCATGCAGCCTTCCCTGAACTCCCCAGGCTTGGGGCTCTCCATCCCCTGATCTCCTACAAAATTCTGTATTTTTTGTACCCTTTATTTGGCACCTAATAACGGAAGGCAGAGGAAAGGAACTGTTTTATGATGCTATTCTTTCTCATGCATCCTCTCTCTATTGTTCAGAGCCATGGGTTCCTTGAAATCAGGACCCTACCCTTATACTCTTTTGTTTCCCCCATCGCACCCAGTAGGGGATAAGAGCAAAAAAAAAAAAAAAAAAAAAATTGATGAACTCAGATGGAAGGGCAGAGAAAAACTTAGGGAATGAAACTGAGCGCTAAGGGTAGAGGAGAAGGAAGGGCTGGACACAGCTTCCCGTCCCCTCCATGAAGATGCCAGCACCCACCCTACGCGTTACCCAGGTCGCCTCCCAGCCCCACACTCACCCATCTGGTTGGAGAGAGGCAGCGTGAAGGTGGACTGCTTCAAGGGGCCCTGTGGCGAGGCCCTGTGGTGGACCCCCCTCTCTGGAGGCTCCCTGTCCAGATTGGGAGCGGGCAGGTGGCAGAACTTCCCAGTGGAGTTGGTGGGGCACCAGCATTCGTCCCTACCAATGCAGCGGCCTCCATTCAGGCAGGGGATCTGGCAGAAATCTACAACATCGACCTCAAGGTGACGTGGTGGAAGAACACAGCAGCACCTACTATGTGGCCGCTGGGTGACAACAGGGAAGCAGGGGGAGCAAGACCCCCAAATCTGGATGGCTTTGGGAACCGGGCACCCCCTGAAATGCAGGGACTTTCCAGGAGGCCTGGGAGGGTGAAGGAGGATGGATAATAACAGGCCTTGCCTTTCCTCCACCCTGCAGTAACCTGGGGGATGGGACGGGAGTGGGGGGCTTGGGGGGAGTGGCACTGTTAACGCCTTCACTTTTCTGTGGAGGAAACTCGGGTTCAGCGAGGTTGTGAGACTTGCTCAGAGTCACATGTGACAGAGCTGGGTGAGGACTCAGCACTGTGTGGTTGGAGACCATTCACAGGAGCCACGGTACAAGGGCACCCGGCCTCCTTCCTGCAGAAGAGCTGGGATCCAGCCCAAGGCAGGCCTGTCCTTCTGGCTACCCCTGCACCCAGCCCCAGGGCCAGCCAGGAACCATGTGAACGGGGAATGGACTCACAGATTCGGAAACCAGACTTGGGGTCATGCCCGTGGCCGCTCTGGCTGTACAGGGTGGTGGTGTCGCCACGCTCGCAGCTGCTGGCACAGCGCCCATGAGCACAGGTCTGCTTGCAGACGGTGGGAGTGAAGACGATCTTGATCTTCTTGATTTTCTCCGTGAGATTCAGCCCTGCAGAGAGAGGGCTTGGGTCCAGGGGGCAAGGCTGAGAGGCACAGCTGTGACCTCCAGAGGCTGGTTAGAAAGGCCCACGGGACTGGGTTGAATCCATCCCAAGGGCATTTGCTAAGTACCTCCTGGATGCGAGGTTCCATAGCGGGGGCCGAGTAACAGCTCACAGGCCAACATCTACTGAGGGATGCCGACAGGCCAGCAACTGAGTTCACGCCTTATGCACAATAACTCTCAACGCTGTTGAGTGTTATTTTAGGTTGAACCACTAGAAATTGCCATTTTTGTAGGTTAAAATGGTTGAATATTGGCAACGTTCTTATATCTAACCTAATATTTCCATCTGACAGTTAAGGAAACTGAGGTTCAGAGAAGGATGGGTTGCATCCCAAGTCACATAGCTAGCAAGGGCTGCATCTGGGCTTTGCACCAAAGGGCAGAGAACAGAATGTAGCTCAGACTTGCCAGAGAAGAGAGTTTTCCAAGAGAACACCTGAAAAAATGATTTAGAGTCGGGTGTTGGAGGCCCTAATGGCCAGAACAAGGATAGGGAACTTTATTCAGTTGGTGGTGGGAAATCATTGAAAATTTTCAGCGAGAGATCAAAGACGAAGTGGGGGGAGGGTAATGCCATCTGAGCTGGGGTGTGCAGATGGATGGAGAGACAGGGTGACTGGTTGGGAGGTCTTTGTAGCAGTGTGAGCTGAGGTCGCTTCATTTAACACAAGTGGAAATACAAAGGAGGGGTATTCATTCTGTATAGGGGGCCCAGCGGGGAAGCCAGGAGGCGGAGGGGTAGAGAAGCGAAGTATAAAAGGTCTATGGAGACTTGACTGTGAAGGGAGGAGAGATAGAAAGGAAGGCAGAGGGAAGTGGAGAAATAGCCATGCGTGTGTGTGTGTGTGTGTGTGTGTGTGTGTGTGTGTGTGTGTGTGTGAATGGGAGAGCTGTAAGTAACTGTATATGCTCTAGGGAAAGGGCTGAGTGGGGGACAGGTTGAAGGGGGAGAAGAACCGGGGTGGGGGGAGGGCAAGTGACAGCCTAGGGTTCCAGAAGAGTCAAGAAACAGTGGGATGTGCCTTAGACAAGAAGAGGGGCACTTCCTTCTCAAGATGGCAAGAAAGGTCATCAGCTATAAAAAGGACACTGATGCATGCTGTCCACAGCATGGATAAACCTCAAAAACATTACACTAAGTGAAAGAGCCAGACACAGAAGGCCACGTATTGCATGATTCCGTTTATATGAAATGTCCAGGATACGCAAATCTATAAGGACAGGGAGTAGATTAGCGGGACCAGGGGCCGAGGTGAGGGTGGGAGTGGGGCAGGGAGTGACTGCTTAATGGGCACGGGGCTTCTTCTGGCAGTGATGGCAATGTCCTGTAATTAGATGGTGGATGCACAAAATTGTGGATATGCTAAACATCACTGATGTGTACACTTTAAAATGGGCAGGAAGGTGAGGACTCTGGGGAGTGGAAAGCATGGCCATGGGATGGGGCTGGGGAAGGTGGGGGCAGCTTGGAGTAGCTGCTCTGAGGAATGAGAGAAAGTGTCCAGGCACACCGGGAAGGATGGCTGGGCAACGAGCAAGAATGTGTGGAGGCTTGAATCCTCAGGGATGCTCAGCTCTCTCCTCTGGGAAGCAGAGGCCCCGCTGTAGGTAACAAGGGGTTTACAGCAAGGATGAGGTGGAAGGACCGGCGCCAGGGAGGTGAGGTTCACAACTGGATATGAGGGAAGCAAAGGCAGAACAGGTGACAGATGGGGCAGAAATGGAGCAAGCAAGGTCTAGGTGTCTCAAAGGGGCAAAGCCTCCAACAGCCGGTTTAGGACCCCCGGAGCCCGACACAAAGCAGATGCTTGACAACTGTTTTGTTCATTGGCTGAAAAGATAAGAGAGAGGGTGACAACACAGCCCTTCTGAGAGGGTGAAGGGGGAAGCAAAGGTGGGGAGAAGGAGGTCCAAGATTTAGATGCCCTGCTCTTTGAGGACCTGGAGCCAGGCTGTCCTTACCCCAGGAGGATGACGGGTGGCCCAGATATGCTGCCTGCTGGGCACCATCCTTCCGTTCAGGGCCTGGCCCCATGGGCAGGGCATTGGAGGTCAGCTGGCCATTGGCCGCAGTGGCCAGATAAAGTCGGACAGTCTGGGACAGCCCCACGTGCTGCTGGGTGGCGTGTGTCTGGCTGAGCCCACTCAGGGTCCTGTGGAGACAACCGGGGCATGGGGTTTGCATCCCAGGAACAGTGTCTCTGTGCCCTTCCTGTTCAGGACGTCTACCCCCGCCTCTGCACTAGAAGAGTGTTCTCTGGCTGCCTTCTTGCCAACTCCAGGAAAACGGAGGTGCCCTGAGACAGGGGAACAGGGCTAAGGCCAGCTGGCTAGTTCGGTGGGAGTGCCTACCCCTATGTAGAACTGCCAGGCTTTGGCTGGGTATTCTGGGCAAGTCACTGAGCCTCCCTGGGCCTCAGGGCCCTCGACTGCAAAATAAAGGTGTTAGATTGGTCCCATGTAGCTCTGACATTTGAAGAGTTTGAGACTCTGATGGACCAGCCCTTGCCCTAAAACTGAGTCCTGTGCCTGCTTCTTGCCACTTCTTAATGCAACCTTTCATACAAATTGCTTGTGGAACATGTGCCCAGCAAATACACGTTAACAGATTGATTCGGGGGCAGAGCCCTGAATATCCCTCTGATTAATGTTATTGTAAAAATAATATAACAACAATGTTCAAGGAGAAAAAAAGTGAATTCATCATCCTCCTACCCCAACACGGCAAATACTTTGGCATATTTCCTTTCAACCTTTGCTCAAGTATATGTTCTTACACTATTGTCATCACTTGCAGATACCATTTAAATTCTGATTTTTCACTTAACATTAGATCGTACTTTATACAATTCCACAATTTTCATATTGATCATCTTAATTGCTACAAGGTAGTCTATCTGAAGATGAATCACAATTTATTCAGACATTCTCCTGTTATATACTTAGATTGTTTTTTTAATTTTTAACTGTGGGCATCCTGACTCATATGGATTTTTTTCTTGGGTTAAAATATTCCTTTAGTATAGGGGGATCCATTAAACTGTTTTTATTCTGTGTATTTGAAAAATATTTATAAGAAACATTTTGAAAAGGCTTATTATTTTAGGATTAATTCTGTGGACTAGAATGGCTAGTTCGGTGGGAGTGCCTACCCCTATGTAGAACTGCCAGGCTTTGGCTGGGTATTCTGGGCAAGTCAGAGGTTACATTTATGGCTCTAGGTATACACTGGAGGACTGCTCTCCAAAAGGTTGTATAAATGTCCCATTCAGAGTGCAGCCTCGCCAGCATTATTATATTATACACAGCCTCGCCAGTGTATTATTAATTTTTCATCATCATCATCATCATAAATTATACTTCAATGTTGCTTTAGCTACCTTTTTTATCATTTCTGAGGTTGAATTTTTTTCATACATCTATTTACCACTTGTGAAAATTTTCTGCTCGTGTCCTTTGATATCTTAACTATTTGAGTTGTTTGCTCATAAACTTGAACGGTTCTTTATGTGTTTATTATAAGGCAGGTCATTCTACAAGGCAGCCTTGTTGTAAATACTCTGTCACTGTCAAAATGTATATGAACCACTGTATACATGACAGGGTCTGGACTGTGGTGGGTGTGAGCACATTGTAGACACTGAAGCTGAGAGAGTAATTACTTGCCCAAGGTTATACAACAGGTAAATCAGGCCCCAGGACTCCAATCCAGCAGAGCTCGACTCCTGTGCCACCCAACAGAGCAGCCCAGACCATGACAGAAACTCAGCCTAGAAGCCTCTGCTCAGGCCTGGGGTGGTGCTCTTTCCTCCCGTAGGTCCCACCCCTAGCCTCTCCACTGGATTCTTTGCCCAAGTGGGTCCTGGGACCCTCTCCCTCCATCGTCCCTACTCCTGTTCTGTTGGCCCCGGGTGTCCAGGCCACGAGCAATCTCCCTCTCATCCCTTCCTGGCAGAAGCCAGAGCAGCACAGGTGTCAGAGTTGGGCACCTTCCAGCCCTTCCCCAGCCCTGTTGGCCTGGGACTTGTCTCCCGTGAGCTTCACCACTGCGCTTCTTCCAGTGCGACCAGCAGCAAATACTCACCCTGACAGCCCCAAACATGCCCCAGCCTGCTCCCCGAGTTTGAGGGCTGGAGTGAGAGAGAGGGCCCGTTAGCCACCCCAGAAGCTCTGGGAGCTGTAATGGACCAGATTTGGGGGCTCCACCCTCAGGCACCTGCTCCTAACTCCGAGGAGAAGGTCAGCACAGCCAGCTGCAGCAGAAAACACAATCCTTCCAATGGCTTCCAAGAGTTCACCAAAGAGTGAGAGGTAAGTGAGCTGGTGGGTCGGTGGAAGTCTCCTCCTGGTGGTACCAAGCCAGTACCATGGCTCAGCTTAGTGTCAGCATCACAGAGCAACCAAGGAGCTAAAGGGAGTAGTTCAGGTTCTGCCCGGACCACCTGGGACATTTCTGAACTTGATGCTGACAAAGAGCTCTCCAGTCTGGTCAAGGTGGAAACTCAAAGGGTTCTTTCTTGGTCTTTTGCTGTCACTGTTGTTACTGTTGCCATCACTTGTTTCTCTAGTTGGAACTCAATGCTAATGGCCGCAAGATTCCTGAGTTCAAATCCCTTAAGGGCCAAAGGTTTAACTTTGCAGAGAAGAAAAAAATGTCTTCCCTAGTTGTAGAAAGGACCTGTCTGTACAGAGAAGAGAGGACAGGAGTTGGGCCAGGCAGATGTCAGTTCTGCCTCCTACTTGACCAGTCACTGAGATCCCCTGAAACTCAGATTCCTAATCAGTAAAACAGGAATAGTGACACCCACCTCACCGGGCTATGGTGAGGACCAAGGGGAACAGTGACACCATGTGATTATTTTGAAAATATAAATAAGTGGTCACAAGTTGAAAACTATACCAGAACTTTAAAATCACATGAACAAAGAAAAGGAAGTGCTAGCTATAGTTCAGACAAAATACCTCTCCCCAAGCCACTAAAAATTCTTCTTCATCTAAGAGGAATAAAAGACACCTCAAATATCTTGTTATACTGCCCAAGCATCCTTACATATAAAAGGCCAAGGGACTAATCTGGTGTCAATACATTTTTAACAACCACAGCCTTCTGAGCTCAATCCATTGTCAGCTACTGCTGTGGTGGGGATTTCGGGTTAAACAATACAAATCAAAAAGTCCTACCTTCTGAGAGGCTCACAGCCAAGTAAAGAAGGAAGTCTTGGTTCTTTGGTAGGTCCTATGTCTTACACTGAAAACACCCCTCTAAAGAGTCAGCTATCTCCCTTCATAAACCCCAGACCAGTCCTTGGAGGTGGACAGGGAGGGAGGGCCCCCCACCCCATGTGTGAAGGGCTTCAGGTCCTCAGCTCAGCTCTGGCTCCTAGAGAGTGGTAGCAACAGAGGCAAGTGAGAGCTGCACTGGGAAGGTGACTTTCTTTGACTAAAGTCCCCGGAGCGGGGCACTGTCCACTCTCAGCTTTGGAAGAACCGCTTTGATTTCGTTAAAGGATAGCATAAATGTTCTCAGACTCGCCTGGCCCAAGATTATCTCTCTGGGATTGTTCCAAGGAGGTCCTGGCAGAGCTGCCACAATTGACTGGAACCTCCATCTCTCTAGACTTCAGGATTTCATGGATCAGTAAAATTTTGATACAAATGTAGGGGACCAACATAAAGTTGCCCACTTTTTATTTAGGTAAGACATTAAAACACACACACACACACACACACACACCTCCCAATTATTACCACCATAATTTTATGAAAGAAAAGACATTTCAATGCCAATAAGAAATATTTGAATAAGCTTAACTTCGTGGAAATCTCACCTCATTGGCTTTATTTTTTTCATTTCTTCATGGACCAACGAAAACTCTCATCACAGACCGTCATGGAGCCAAGGAGGAGCCACTGGGTATGATCCACCAAGATGTGCTCTGGCCTGAGGACTCTCCGGCTCTTTCAACTAACTTGGGAAACAACCTTCCATCCCAGCTGGCTGGGATCTTCAGACCTGAGTGGAAACTCCCTGGACAGTGCATACCCATGATAATGCCACTCAGCTGAACATGTTGCCCCCATATTCTGCCCAACTCACTAAGGTTCTCAAACAGTGATGGGGAGACGAGTGGGTGAGGGGCTCCGTGCCCTCCTTCCCACCCACTTTCACCTTAGCCTGGTGGCTCCACTCTATCTAATTGATAACTGGGTTTCCACCTACTATTTTGTTTGCTAAGTGTTCTGCTGCCAAAAGAAAGTTTAAAAACCTCACTGCAAGGTACATAGAATAATTACAGCTCCCACGGACAGAGCACTGAAGGATGTACTTTAAATGCATCATCTTGTTTTTTTAAATGCCTCATCTTATTCATGTTATTTTATTGAATGAAAAAAGTAAGTTGCAGAATAATATGGACAGTAATACTTCCAGGTTTTTGTTTGAAGAAAAACCTTTCTCTCTTCCCTACAGATATTTATATAGGCATAGGAAAGGTCTGGGAGGATCTGTAAACAGTGGTTGCCCCTTGGGGATGAGAATGCCTATGTATGTGTAACTACTGTTTTAAACTTTATGTTTTCATATTTTTAGATTTTTTTCAGTAAAAATTTTTTTTTTACAGTTTTACAGTAAACACGCATTATGTTGTAATAAAAATAAATCTCTATTTTCCCCAGCGACTCCAATTTATAGGTAAGGAAATTGAGGCTCAGGAAAAGCATGATAAATGTGTGTATATTACTAGGATCCAAGGTGGACTCTGATGGCTAACAGAGGTACAGGAGTTCAGATGTAAGCAGGACCATGACATTTGAGCTGGGGCTTAAGAGAAGGGTAGGAATTTCACAGTCCAAAATGAGGCGGAAGACATTCCAGATAAGAAAAGTAACATAAGAAAATGCGTGAAGGTGGGAAGCATGGGCCATATTTAAGGAAGGATAATGAGCACAGTTGGATAAAGCATAGAATGGAAGGGAAGGGAGGGAAGGAAAATAACATCCATTCAGTGCCTACCAAGTAGTGGACATCATTCTAGGTGTTTTACATAACATATCATTTACTTGTCCAAACAACCAACCCTGTGATCAAAAACCTCTGCTTGGCCAAAATGACTTTAAACAAAGTAAAAAGACAAAATGGGAGAAATATGTGCAATTCATATCACGATAAAGAACCAATCTCCATAATATTTAAAGAGCTCCTAGAAACAGAAAAGACAGACCAAACCAATAGCCCTAGAAGAAAAGTCAGCAAAGGAATATGAACTGTTCACAGAAAAAAAACCCCAAACGTTTCTTTTTTTTTCAAGATCAAGATTTTTAAAAATTAATGTTTCATTGCTTCATCAAGTACATTCTCAAGTATACTTTTTTTTGTTTACTATGAATATATGGTGACAAAGAGCACAGTTTGAAGGAACTGCACTGACCTTTCCTAAGGCACCAGCCGTTTTCCCCACCATGGCTTATGAACCATAGTGCAATTGTCAACACAATGAAAAAGGAACTTAGTATTATTATTAAAATAGTTTTAACCCTTAAAGGGTCTTGGGCTAACAGATAGCACTTTGAGAACTACTGTTTTACTAGAACAAAAATATATTTCTCATTTTTGTTATGTTGACTTTGGGTTGGTTACAGGTATCTTCATTCTGGAATCCTGGCAAAACAAAAAGCCTTTATCTGGCACCTGTTTTTCCTGTGGCAGAGGAAAATGAGCAAAATAAATTCATGCATTGGCTTCCAAAGCTTCTTCTTAGACATGACCTATATCACTTCTCATCTTCCATTGACTTTGGTCAAGTCCCATGGCCAAGCTTGATGTCAATGGAAAGAAGGAAGTACTCCTCCCATAGGTAGGGACCCTGGAAACCGTGGCCTCCGACGCCGCTCCCCCGTCCCGGGAAAGGAGACACAATTCCCCTCCTCGCCTCCGCCGCCACCTCCAACTACCCCCAAAATAACCCCTACGGGTGGGGAGAGGCAATTATAACCCGGGCGAGCGGAGGGCGGGGGAATGGGCGTCGGGTGGGCGGGGTCGGGGAGCGCGGCGCGGGTCCCCAGGCGGCGAGCGGATGTGCTCCCACCGCCCCAAATGTTTCTTAAACACATGAAAGTAGGCTCAACTTTTCTCATTCTAAGGGATGTGCAAATGAAAACTACTTTGAGATAGCATTTTTCAGTCCATCAGATTAGCAAAAAATCCAAAAGTTTAATAATAGACTAATTTGGTGAGATTGTGCAGAAACAGACACTCAGATGTTGCTGGTAGGAATGTAAGTCGACACAGCCCATTTGGAGAGCAATTTGGCAATGTCTATCCACACAGCAATGCATCAATGCTTTGCCCCTGCAGGTCCACCTCCGAGGCTGTGCTGCAGATACACCTGCTGTGGTAGGCACTGCTGCCGCCCTGCCCAGTCCCCTTTGCGGCCGGTGCACCCCACACTGGCTCCCCCTGAGCTGTGCTCCGGACGGAAGACAACCACCTGACAAGCTCCTCCCACCATCATGACCACGAAGCCAATGACTGACTGAACCGGAAGTTTAAAAGCCCCGCCTCCTTGCTTCAAGGTGGGACAGCTGTCCAAGCTCCGCCCTCTGTTAGGCTTTGGCTTGATTTTCCCGGGACCAATCCTTGCTTGGCTCTTTCCGCCTTTCCATTCTGCTTCCCTCCCGCCCTTAGCCCTTCCCGAGTAAATCACACACACACCTGAATTCACGTCCCAGCTCCGCCTCTAGGGGGAACTGACCTAAGACACTTGTAAACGTCCACAATGATGGATGAACAAGATTATTCATAGTAGCACTGTTTTGTAATAGCAAAATATTTTGTAAAGAATAGAAACAATTTAAGTGTCCCTTAGTAGGGGATTGGTTAAACAAACTAAGAGACATCCACGGGATGGAGTGCTATGCCCTCAAAACAGAAAGATGCAGCCCTTTTACATCCACAGAAAAGCTCTCCAAGATATATAGAAAAGTGAAAAAACAGCCCAAATCTGGCCCACCGACTGTTTTTGTACAGACTGTGACCTAACAATGGTTTTTTATACTTTTTAATGGTTGGAAAAAATCAAACGAAGAATAATATTTCATGACATGAGAAAGCGATATGAAATTCAAATTTGTTTCCATAAATACAGTTTAACTGGAACACAGTCACACTCATTGTCTAAAACTGCTTTTGCTCTACAGTGGCAGAGCTGAGTAGTTGCAGACACCATATGTTGTACAAAGCCTAAAATATTTACTATCTGGCTTTTTGTGGAAGAAGTTTGCTGACTCCTGGTGTGGGGCATGTAAACTTTTGTGTAAAAATAGAGAAAATAAGCATGAATTTATTTGCATATTCATAAAGCAACCTTGGAAGGATACCCTGAGAATTAATAAGTGGTTTCCTGTGTGTGTGTGTGTGTGTGTGTGTGTGTGTGTGTGTGTTGGGGGGGAGTGGGAAGTGGATGCATGGGGAAGAAACTGGTGCTACAATTTGATGAATGCTTGTGCTGTGCCGGGCTGCATGCCAACAATGCATGTCACATGCATTATCTCATGAAATCCTCTCCGTAACCCTAAGAGTTAGATACTCATTATCCCCCATTTTACAGTCAAGAAAACAGAGGGTAGGGAGGTTCTATACCTTGCTGAAGGTCGCAGAACTCCTAAGTGCAGAAGCCAGGTTACCAAACCAGGTAAGTCCATCCTCAAGCCACCCCACCATTTGTCATTTCTCTATCGCCATTTCACTGAGGCTGTGAGGGATTAAAGAAGAATAGGTTCGGGTCCATATCGTGGAGGGCTTGAAATATCAGGGAGGTGTCTGGGCTGTACTGAATGGGTAAGGGGGAGTCCCTAGAGATTTTGGAGAAGCCCACCCTCTTTCATGCATTCAAGAAGCACTTACTGAATGCCTGCCACGTGCCAGGTATCCAGGTCCAAGGGTGGCAAAGACTCTCTTGCCCTCTCTGCTCCAGTGGAGACTGAGCAAAGGAACCAACATCCCAGCACATGTGTGGAGGTACAGCGGGAGCCATACATTAGCCTTGAGGTGCAGGTGGTCTTCAAGCAGGTCTAGGACATGGTGGGATGGGCCTTTTCAAATGTTTATTACTTTGATGAAAGATTACCTGGTGGTGGATAGACCAGAGAGGGGAGGGCTGGAGGCCAGCTGGAAGGCTTTGGCTGGGCTCTAGGCTAGCAGGGACCAAGGATGGGACCAAGAAGAGGATCGGGATTCAGGGGATATTTAATACATAGAGAGTTCCCAGCTGTGGCTTAGACAAATGGGTGGAGGACATTCCAAGATCTCAAGGAGTGATCCAAGAAGTGACTCAGTTTGGGACATGGTGAGTGCTGGTGCCTCAGGATGGATGTCAGAAGCAGATGGAAATACCCAGGAGGCAGCACTCAGGAGAGAGGCTGCAGACACAGACTGCAGACACTGTCAAGGGAGTCCTGGTGGAGAGGTGGGGCTGCAGGGACCATATTACTCGGGGAGAGTATTCATAACAAACCACGACTCAGAGTTCCACTGCTGGACTCTGCTTACACTTGCCTGTTTCAAAAAGGGAAATGTGTTAATGAAGAGACTGGTCCCCGTGTTGGGCTTTGCTCCCATAAATTTGTCTCCAACCTTTGGTGCCTGCTACCGCTTGCCTGCTAGCGTGCGATAAAGCAACTGACAAGCCAAAAAGGAACACTGACGGGAAAATGTGGCAACAGCCCATCACACTTCACTCGACAGCTTGCTGTCTACATGGCTACGTGCGTGTGCCTATAGCGGGTTTTTATTTTGCACACACAGATGATCATCATAGTTTCTGCTAGTAAAACTGTTCCCAGTTCTAATTATGGAATTAATTACATTGATAGTTCATGGTATCCCTTATGACTGCCAGATGCTCTGACACGGAAACACTTTGAGAAATACAGGAGCAAAGAGAGAATAAATAAGGGCAGAGGAGGGGGTCTGGGGAGCAGCAAGGCTTGAGGGGCAGACCAAGAAAGAGGCTGTGGAGATGTCAGAGAGGTAGGAGGGGACAGGGAGAGAGCACCAAGACAGGAGGGCGCTCCTTGAACTCTATCCCTGCTCCGGGCCTTCCTGTAACTGCAGGCCCAGCTCGTTACAATCGAACACACCTTGGCGCCTCCCAAGTGGCTCAGTCTCCCCTGAGAATCTGGGTCCTGGAGAGGCAGGGGGAAGCCCTCGCAGAGCTCTGCTCCTTCTCTCCTCCTCGCTGTCCAGGCCTCAAGCCCAGGCCACAGTCAGGTGGCCCTTGTGCCTAATCCCCAGGGACCCAAGGTAGTGTTTCCAGACATCACGCTCTAGCCCCCGCTGCAAACCTGCCCTGCCCCGGCAGGGAACAAGGGGGCACCCAGCCTTGGTGGGCGAAGAGGAGGGGACACCACGGCCTTGGCACAAAGCGAGGAGCCTGCTGATTCTAGGTGATGCATAGTTTGGGGGCCTGAGCAGGTGTGGCCCAGGCTGGGCTAAGACAGCAGCCATCACTCCCCAGCCTCTGGGTATCAGAGGTGCCAGGTTGGTGGGTTCCCAGGTGTCACTGTAAGGAGGGGAAGACTTGAACTCTGCCCCTCTTGTCCTAGACAGTAATAATGAACATTTATTGAGCACTAACTCTGTGCTGTGTATTAATTGTTCTATTTGCATATGTTATCTAATCTTCACAACCACCTTAAGGGGCTAGGTACTGTTATTAACCCCAGTTTTTCAGAAAATGAAACTGAGGCACAGAGAGGTTAAGGACTTGTCCAAGGTCATTCATCTAGAATTGCACTGTCCAGTAGAACTTCCTGTGGTGATGGAAATGCTCTATAGTCTGTGCCATCCAATATACTAGCTACTAGCCACTGTGGCTTTGAAGCACTTGGAAATGCAGCTGGTGTGACTGAGTTTTACATTAAATTAAATTTAAATAGTCCCTTTGTGGCTGATGGCTACTGCATTGGACAGCACAGCATAGAAAATGGAGGAGTCTGGATTTGAACCGGGAAAGTCTATCTTGGCTATGTGGTTAAAAGTTTCCCTGGCTACCCTCACTGCATTCTTTGTCCCCAGGCACTTGGGTTCCCTGACTGTCCTGGCCTAGGGGAATCAGCACCCTTTTAAACCTTGCTGTCCTGAGGATGTGGCAGGAAAGAGACTGGATTTCCGGAAGACATGGACCCAGGACCAGGTCACAGGGGAGCAGGGTTCAGCATGGCCTGAGGAAGGATGTCTAAAAAGCCAGGGTTGCCTGGCGACATGGTGGTCCCTGGAGAGGCCTGAGCACCTTGTCCTTGGGATTGAGGACCTGGGTCCTCGCCTCTAACCCCCCACCCCCCCACCCCGTGCCAGAAAGGAAGCAGCAGCCATTCCTGCTCAGGGCGGGGCTCTGGGCCCGTGACATCTGAGAGACAAGTAGGGTGGCATGCTCAGTGGGGCAGTCCTGGGGGACCCAGCCCCTTCCCACTGCCTGGCACACAGTTCCGGCATCCCCAACACTGGGACACTCATACCCTGCTGCCCTCCCGGAAGGGCCGAGAGCTGGCCTCCCCTACATGTTTCAAGACCTCTCCTGCTGCTGGTCCTGCTGTGCCCACTTGCCCGACCCCTTCGGCCTCACCGGTCTGCCTGAGGTACCCCCCCGGCCACCTGTGAGTCATATCCCCCTGCTCTGAGGTCTGCACCTTTAGCTTTTTTCCGTGGCCACAGCCAGGTCTGAGAGGTCCGGAGCTCGTGCTCACAGACCCCAGGGGATGCCCCTGCCAGGCTGAGGGTGGGGAGGGGGCAGAACCCAGGGAGCCTCGCCTGCTCAGAACTGCACCCTGCTCCGCTCGCCCAGTAGCTGGGGAGAGAACACAGCACCCTGCTTCCTTGCAGGCAGATAAGAGGCGGAGGCTGGTGGAGCTGTGCACGTCTGGGGCATCGTCTGTGGGACACCGAGCCTGGGCCTGAGGCCTGGCTCCCACCTCTAGAGCAGCATTACGTAGGTGCTGCCTCAGTGTCCCAGGTGTCCAGAGACCCCTCTGAGCCTCCTCACGCCCCTCCACCCTCCAGACCCCTCATGCCTTGGTCAGCTGCGAACGCTTCGCCACTGAGCGGCCTGCCTCACGGGCCGCCAAGCCCTTGCTCCCTGAGACTCTGCATTGCCTTTCTTCTCTCCTGGATGGGCCAGGGTGCTGGGCAGGAAGCTGGAGTGGGCTGCCCAGGCCCGGGGATCACACCTAGGGCACCTCAGGGGGCAGAGAGGGGAGGAGGAGGTGCCCTGAAGGGCTGCCCAGGGCCGCAGGAAATGCCCCTCATTTTCTACGTAAGTTTCATTTTGTCCAAGTGTCAAACTGCTGAGCGATCGCCCTCTCCCTCCAGCTAGGAAGGAGATAAAGGAAGGGCCCTTCCAGGAGCTCCTCTGCCTCCTTCTGGGCCCAGCAAGACCACCCAAAGGGCTGCAGCATGGCCAGGGATATAGATCCCGAGAGGGGAAAGGAGGGGACTGGATCTTACCCTCTTTTTTTTTTTTTTTTTTTTTTTTGCGATACCCGGGCCTCTCACTGCTGTGGCCTCTCGCGTTGCGGAGCACAGGCTCCGGACGCGCAGGCTCAGCGGCCATGGCTCACGGGCCCAGACACTCCGCGGCATGTGGGATCTTCCCGGACCGGAGCACGAACCCGCGTCCCCTGCATTGGCAGGCGGACTCTCAACCACTGCGCCACCAGGGAAGCCCCTTACCCTCTTTATATCCTTCATGGAGTCATCACAGCGCTGGGCAGACAGCTGCCGCCCCCAGATAGTCATCACACTGAACACTGAACTCTGTGGCTCCCAGCACTCCGGCCTCACTGGAGCCATCTCCCCAGCCCAGGCCAGGTCCCACTCCACAGCCATCCAGGGCCAATGAACAGTCTGAAGCCTTTGGCTCCAAGTTCCCCCAGGAAGACGTGTCAGCTTGTGGGGAACCTGGATGTCATGAATTCATCATCTAACCACTTCCAAGGTCCACTTGTGAGCACCTCAGATGGTGCGTGGTCCCACATGGGCACTGAGGGAAAAGCATCTGGCCCACCGAGGGCTTACAATGCAGGCAGGGAAGCAGGAGGCAGGGGAGGGCTGGCACACCTGGTTCCTTTGTGTGGATTACAAAAGGGGCCCTGGGCAGCCAGTTTACAGAGGCTGCCCTGCTTCCTTCAGGCTGACGTAGCATGGTGCCAGGGCTGGGCAAGCGGAACGTAGGCTAGAGTTTAGCCCCATTCATCTGACCTTTGTGTAGAGTGCAACGCGCCCCCTGCCCCACACCATGCACAGTGGTCCTGGGAGAAGACCCTGCACATGAGTGTTTCCTACAATCCAAAAGTGGAAAAGCAGCAGGTAGTCAGGTGAGCTGCCTGGCCAAGATGCTCCAGGCCTCCCTACGCAGGTGTAGCCCTGGGTCTGGATGCCTGGGGAAGACTTTCTAGAAGTTGTGTGGTTTTAGCTGGAGGAAGGCATGGGGAGGACAGAGTCCACCCAAGGGTGAGAGAACCACGAGTGCAAAGGGACAAATGCAAGAATGTGCTGGTGATGGTGCTCAGGGGGTAAGGAGGTGTGTCTGGTTAAAGGGAAAAAAGGAAGGGCCAAGGATGACAACAAATAACAGCAAATAGCTACATTTATTTACCAGGTACTGTTCTAAACACTTTATGTATATCAACTAATTTAATCATCATTATATGAGGAAGTAGGTATTATGATTATCCCCATTTTACAGGTGAGGCACAGAGTTGCTAGGTAACTTGCCTAAGGTCACAGAGCCAATGACTAACAGAGCTGGGGATCCGACACAGGAGGCCTGCATCTGCATCTCGTTCCCGAGCCTGTACTCTAAACCTCTACACTATATCGTGGCTTGAGAGCTATGCTTTGGGTCTGAGCTTTAGAGCCTTATCCTTTGGGTCTCATGTATAAAAGGGAAGCCTTGAAGGAAGGTGTTTTTACCAGGAAGGAACAAGGTTAAAAATGGTCTCTTAGGAAGGCGATCATGGACAACTCCTCCCTGGAGCTCCCACCCACACTGACCACCCAGGTGCCTGGCCAAGAGTGCTCTCCTCCCCCACCCCTGCCCCCCAGACATTTTCTCAGGGCATCTGTGGTCCCCAGGGTGAGGCAGAGGTGAGGCAGGGAAGTCTGTGGAGCCACAGTACTCCACACACACCCACTGGTTCAAGTAACTGCTCTGTTTACGGAAACTCAGGCACAGAACAAACATCACTTTAGAAAGGTCCCCAGTGCCCTGCAAGGCGGCTCTCACGATCCCCACAGCACCTGTGAAGCACTTGCGGTGCAGAGACAGTCAGTCTCTGGCCCTAGCTCACGTGTCTCATGAATGGCAAAACCCAGGATTCAAACCAGGTCTATCACACTCCTCCCAGCACTGCACCCTCACTCTCACCACAAGCTGCTGCTGCATGAGTGACAGAGAAGCAAGTGAAAAAAGGAAGTGGTTGGAGGGGTGAAGAGGTGAAGGGAAAGAAAACACAAGTCAGGGCGTATGGGCACCTGGAAAGTGCTACAGATCAGAGGAGAGAACTTTAGGCTGAGGGGATTGAGTTTGGACCACTTCCCAAAGCCATGAAGAACTTGGTACGTCTCGCCACCACCAAATGGGCCATGAGACGCCCACCTCTTGAACCCCGAGTTCCCAGCCTGTGGTCTTTGGGACCCATCTTCCTTCCATGTATGTTCCCCCAACCCCTGGCGGGCACGTGTGCCCAGGCGCGCGCGCACACACACACACACACACACACACACACACACACACACAGAGCTTAGCTGGCCTGCCTTATAGGACAGCAAACACAAGCCTGTGACTTCAGATGAGTTTACCCCACCCGGACAGGCCCATTGTAGACAAAGGCAGCTGGTGCCTGGGTCAAGGATATGTTTCTCAGGGGCTGGTCAAAGTCTTGGCAGCCTTCAGCCAGCCTGCTTTTCCAGGGCCTGGAACTCTTCCCCAGGACCATAAACAAAAGGAGATTTCTAAAAGACCTGGGCGCCCAATCTGAGAAGCCTTCGCTCATCCCAAACCTACCAACCAATTATGTCCCATATACCTGCTACAGACACTTCATTTTAAAATTTTTACTAGGCTCTTTACGCTTGAGAGTGTGATTTTTCTACGCTTTACTTGATTAGTGCAAACCTATGCTATAAAAACTATCATTCCCCATTTTACAGAAGAGAAAACTGAGGCACAGAGAAGCTGTTTACTTGCCCACTATCACCACCGGGCAGGGAGGTGCTGGGATGGGCTCTCAAGGCTTGAGCTCTGTACCTCTGGTGGATGACAGTCCCCAGCATGCTGCTCACCCTTGGCTAAGATAGGAAACCTCACCAGAGCCAGAAACACCTTCAAGTGGTCTGGGGAAACTCTCAGAGTTTCCAGTTACCGCTGTCGCTATAAACAAAGGGCTCAGGTAATCCCAGAGTCTAGGGACAAATAAGAGTTGGTGCCATTCATAGGACACCTAAAAGGTGCGTATATGCATTTACATATGTTAGTAAATCTTCCTGACAATTCTATTAGTGGCAGGCATCCCCATCTTACAGATGAGAAAACTGAGGCTCGTGAGGTTAAATCCCTTGCTCTGGGCAGCATAACTATTAAGTGGCAGAGCTGAGATTCAAACCCAGACGTATCTAACAATAAGACATCAATTATGCCACAGTTGCTCCCTCACACACTATTGCCTGCTGTAGGGGCTCTGACCTTGACCCAAGAACCTCCAAAAAAAAGAAAGAAATGTGGAATCAGTTTGTTCCTCAAGGGTGTGGCTTGGCTGGCGTCTCAAGAGGATACCCCCGCCCCTTGGAGTACCAGATTCCCTCCAGAGGCCTCTGATGCAACCCCTACCCACCCCCACCCCCCCCACCCCCGCTGGCTGGGTGCACCCTTGGGTGGACACATTAGGTAGCAGTGAGGAGCCCAGGCTCTGGGAGGAAACCGAGCGTGGGCGACTGGCTGGAAGCAGAAATATGGTATCTCCAGAGGTTTTGCTTTGCGATCTTCATTTTGCAAGGAATGGGGATTTTTTTCTTTTCAAAAAGCAGTGGATTTCCTTGAATTTTAGACCTTTCACAAATATTTTTTTAGGAGAAAAAAGAAGGAAAAAATCCCCCACAAAATGTCTGTCACAGCTACTCACTTCCACATTGAATCACGGACACAAAACCACAGCTATGTGGCTAACAAAGGAACTATGTATTTTCATATCTTGTTATTGGAAATCATTTA